ACTGTAGTGAATATTTTTGGGGTGCAACAAAGGACACATTTAAATATATTGTAACTTTTAAGAGCAAAGAGAGTTAAAGGTTCCTTTTTTTTTATTAATTAATCGATTTAAAAAAGAGAAATAGAGTTTCTACTTATAAAAACAAGTAGAACTTGAAATGAATATTAATTAAATCTATAGAAAACGTATCAAGTTCTTAAATTAAAAACCCCACGCTCAGCTAATGCCACATTTAATCATTTCCCCTTGCTGTCATTTTAATTAAATAAAAGAAAGACACACTTGTAGAATTTAACTACGCACAGCTACCACTTGCACAATGCACTCTTATGTGGGATGGGCCCCACATAAGGGATGGGCCCCACATAAGAGTGCATTGTGCACCCTTCATTTCCATTTTCCCACCCGCTAGAAAAGCATCATCCCCACACCGCATTAGCCCTTTCTCTGTGGCTTAAGTCGCCGCCGCAATTTAAATAAGCTTAAAAGCGCAGCCAAGACTAAAAGCAAACTTGACTGAAATGCATTTCCCACCCCTTGCGCTCTTTTTTACTATCAAAAAAAGAAAAAAACCAAGAGGGAAAAGCCAGAAGACCCAGAAGAGGGAAAAAGCGGGGTGTAGGTTCAGGGGGGTGGCGTCAGCATATTGAATGCCAAATGAGCGATTAGCACTTGTCGCCCTGTGTGTTGATGCCTTTTGGCAATGTCTGCCAGGATGTTGACGATGATGAAGGAGCTCTCTGCTTGGTGTTTGTTGGTTTTTTGTGATTGCGCTTAAATTACACTTAACACAAATTCCATTTGAATAAACTAAAAATGAAATGCATAACACCAAGGCAACGGCATCAGCAGATTGCGCATAATCAGTAAAAAACTCATTAAAAATATTTAATGAGAAAAGTGGCACTTTAAGCGCAGTTTTAGTGTGAAGCAAGAGAGGTCTATGGGGGATTTGTGTGATTAAAAGCTAATCATGGAATATTTTTTATAGGGGGAAATATTTTTCTTTTTAATTTATTTAAAATATGCAATCAAATGCCAGGCTTTATCATATTTAAAAGCCAATGATTAAATATTAATAATGGGAAAGTTGGCTAGATTTTTGTTTGATATAAAAACTATTAATATTTATATTTATATTTGTTTATATAAAACTTTATAGACTTGTGTCAATCGCTATGATTTATGACAGCAAATATTAAAGACCAATTTAAGCCCAATTTCATAAATGTCTACCCTAATTAAATACCATTTTCTCAGCTTAATCTTAATGTAAATAAACCAAGTTAAATGCATGGGCAAAAAAAAACTAATTAAAGACCTTGGTGGCAAATTGTCGAATTAGTGTAATTAACAGTAATCGCCTTGGAGTCCCTTCAAACAATATTTGACAATTGGACCGCAAAAGCCTCAAATGCAATATCTTTGAAATGCATTCAATGTCCCAACCACAAAAGCGTCCAATCAAATGCTGTCGGCGAACAAATCATCCTCAGGATCCACTTCTACCTCCTACCTCCTACCTTTCCCTCTCTCTCGCCTGACAAAATGTGCCATTAATACATATGCCGGGGAGTTGTTAATGGCGAAATCTACGAAGGGAGTTGGAGAAATGTGCCAGAATTGGGCTGTAAGTAAGCCCATTGACAGGGCTTCGGACGGGAATGGAGCAGAAACTGAAACTGGCCACTAACGAGGCTCGTGTGTGCGATTCCAGCGACACACGACAGTTGTCTAATTAAATACCAACAAGGCACTGATAATGCCAGCCATAAGGAACACCGGATATGTACTCGCAATGACAGCCCTTCGTCATCATCATTGAGTGCAGGAAAATGTCATCAGCAAAGGTGAAAATATGGCGGAAAAATAAATGGGAACTTAGGTGAAAATATGGCGGAAAAATAAATGGGAACTTGGGTGGGCTTTATTGATAATATTTTGATAAGCATTTTATATTCATATTATTTTGGGAGCTTTGAAAAATATTTAGGAAATAAAAAACCAACATTAAATTAGGGTTTTGATGAAGTGTATGGTAAAATGTATTGAAAATAAATAAAAGTAATACATTTTGATTACTTAAAATGAACTTAAAATTCAATGAAATTAAATATTCAATGTAACATTCAGGAAATTAAATACCAGACGATTTTGTAAACTAAAAAAATTAGAAAAATCTATACAATTTTATTGTAAATTTAAAAACACAAACTCAAAATCTTGTGTAAATATTTCAAATTCAATGTAACTTCCAGAAAATGAAACTCCATTTGGTCTGAAAAAGCAATACAAATCTTGACAATATCCTTTTAAATTTAAAAACACAAATGTGCCAGTGAAAATGTCTTTCGTAGGAGCCAAAAATCAAGCAAGAAAAATAACCCACATTGGCAGCAAATATTTAATATTGATAATAATATTTTCCACCTACCAAAAAAGACGCGGCCAATGGATGTTGACACTTATTTCTTCCTTCTGTCAGCTACACAGTCTTAAAGTTTAATTAAAACTTATTTCCTGAACTCTTCGCGAGAGCACCGAAAATGTTAATTAAAACGATGTTCAACGGAGAAGAGATTGCCTCGTGCGTTTTTCCTTTTGTCAGGTTTATTTTTGCAACGGAAAAACGGATTTCATTTCGCGCGCGTGGAATTTTCCCCGTTTTTCTTTTTGCCGTTTTCGATTTTCGGTTTTTGCCTTTCTATTTTCGGTAGCGTAACAATTTTCCAGCCATGCGACAGGATGAACGAGCGGCGGGCATGTGATTCGTGTCGAGTGGCAACGAAACTGCAGGACAAAACTGCACAGGACACACGCAGCACGGAGCGGAAAACGTAGAAAGCCGAGTGGAAAATGCACGCGACCGAGCGAGCGAAAGAGAGAGAGCGTTGAAAACCGAGTGGAAAATCGTAGCTACGTAGCTCTCCCTGAGACTTTTCCACTCCAAAATGAGTGTACTTTTCGTGTGTGCAAATAAAAAGGACAACAGGGAAAAAGCGACTCGACTAATTGACGTATGCAGCAGGCGAAAGGCACTCGCATACGTTACGAGCTTGGTATATATTGGCAAAAGAAACCACGGTTAAGTGTAATTTTTTCCGCGGCTAAAAAAGAAATTGGTTATTTGCGTGCGAAACGCGGAAATTCCACGACCAGGACGATGGCAAGGGAAAGACTACGAACGTAATTCCGGGTAATGGCTCATAATAAATTGCCCAAAAAAACAAAAAAAAAGCGTCGAAGAACGAGCGTAAATAAGCGGAAAATGGCGAGCTCTATGGAAAACTATAACGATTGAAATGGGTACGTCTCTGGGAGAAGGTAGGGAAATCGTTTGAAAATTGCATTTTAATACTGGCAAGGGATTCGTGTGAGGTTTTCCCCCGGTATTCCCTCTTCTTCCGCTCGGTGTACACACAATAAATCAATGGCAAGTCAATTCTGTTGGGGAGCAGCCACGAATCGCTCGCAGAAAGCCAGGCCAAGAATAAATGACTGCGAAAATCTAGATACTTAAAGCCCCGCACACCAAAACCCTTTAACTGAAAAGAATAACACACCTGCAGACTGTGGGTCAGAGATGCCAAAAAAGGTGAGGTAAGTTTTAAGGAAGAAAATATATTTAAGGGGTAAGGTTAAGGCTTTTAATTTAAATAATTTATGTAAGCTTATCTGGGATTACTGGGATTCCTTAAAAAAAATAATCAAAAATTGTTAAATATCTAATAAAGTGTATTCTTGATTAAAATCTTTTAAAGCTTCTAGTAATAGTTCCATAGCCCTATTTCCTATGACAGACTAAGAAAACCCAACCTAAGATAGGTTTCATGTTAGAAACCCCTTCAAAAGGTACCCTTTCATTATCCTAAAGTCATTACAAAATTACAATTGATGACTTAAAGACCTAAGCCAGTTCCGATGGCTGTTTTGTGGAATAGTTGAACAAGTTTGGCAGCTTAAAGTGGCTTTCAGCTTACACCAACTACTCGGTTGCACAATGACAAGGACTCACAAGGCAGAGATCCTCTTTATCTCCCTCTCTCTTGCCACATTCCTTCAGAGCCGATACTTCCGGGCGGAGACGTAGTCAAAGTCTGAGGCGGAACTGACTCTGGATGGACCTTGGTAGTGGCATCCAGGAGTTGACAAGCGACAGATTAGCTTACAATTACAACAAAGCTGGCGCTGAAAGGTGGCAAAGCCGATGATGAATAGGAAAACTGGGAGAGCAAAGGAGTCCGCACAGAGAGGATGTGGCAAAATGTAAATATTTGCTCAATATGTGAGCTCTATTCACTTGCTACGACCCTGGGTATCCAGCGTAAAAGAGGGATTGAATGTGAGCTGAGGCTGCTTCTTATCAGAGTCTGAGATGCAATACCTTGGATTTAATTTAAATTATTGGATAGAAATAATAAATAGTATGCTAATGAGATAGTGGTTTGAAAGTCAACAAAGCAAAGAAGCTGGCTAGTGATTTTCGAGGGAAATTTTAAGGTTGACGGAATTTGTTTGAATTGGAAATATATTTTGTATTTGGGTAACCCATAAAAACTCATTTAAAATTGTTGATAAAACAGGAAGGTAATTGGATTTGTATGAATCAAAGTTTAACTTCAGGTAGTTATTTAAAAATATATATCATTGGAGTTTCAGTCTTGGATATTATCAAGGCAAATGGTATGGTATATGGGTATTTCTTTAGATAAATAAATATTTTAAATAATAAAAAATATATCTACAAATAAAAGAAAAGTTTGTACTACATGCACTACCTTAGAGTAGAAGTTAGGCTTCTTTAAAAAAATTAATTAAAAATACATAAATGTAATGCACTCAGATAGGTTCTATTTTAGAATTTAAAATAAATATTTAATATGTTTTACTACTAACTAATAATTAAAAATTAAATAGCAGAACAAATACAAAAACATGCTTATAACATCAAGACATAAATCAGGCATTATTTTTATAAATATATAATATATATAACTCACCTTGAGCTCAACAGTCGTTCGGCTTCGGCGGCAGTCATGGCATCTGGCAGGCTATCATCCCGAGGAATTGCCGCTGCTGGAGCTGCGCTGGCCACGCTGTGCTTCGCTTGGACCTTGCTGATCACCTCATCGACAACGTCGTCTATTAGCTCCACATCCAGTATATCGCTGCCCTTCAAGTGATTGAGTATATCCTCCTCATCCTCACCGGCGCTTGTGTCTGCATACTCCAAGTCCTGCAGCTCCAGGGCACCCTGTGCGGGTGCACGACGTTCTGGCAGAATTGGAGCTTCCTCCTCCTCTAGCTCAATTACCTCCACATATTCCACTGCCAAGTGTTCGTCCTCCTCTTCCTCCTCATCGAGATCGAGTTCCTCTTCTTCGTGCGCATCAATGGAGGCAATGGGAGCTATGCCCTTGACCAGTGCCGATCTGGCTGGTGAAATGGGTGGCGTGGACTTGGCACTGCCCACACTCTGATCCTGATTGCTGCTATTGCGTCGCCTTATGGGCGAAACTACACCCACAGGCGGGGAGCTATAAACACCACGATGCAAGGGAGAACCCTCCACGCTCGAGGACGTAGGCGATTGTTGCAGGTGAACTGTACGCGAGGGAGCCACCGGCTGCTGCTGGTTGGCATCCGGCACATCCGTTTTGATGATTGCATACACCGTGCTCGACTCCTGGCCAAAGCCATTGGCTCCATGGAACTTCCGCTGCATATCAGTGACCTTGGCGGTGTCATACAACTCCGCCTCGGATCCGTAGACCTCGCGACTCTCGCTGCCGTCAGGATTGAGGCGATAGCCCACGTCCACGTAGTTCAGGCTATGTGGGAGCTCTGTCTCCGTCTGGTCGTAGGCTGGCTGCAATTTGGCCTTTAGCTCTGGAGTGGTTTCGTTGAAGCCACCCTCGTCCTGGCTGGTGGTCGAGATAATGCTGGGCGGCCTCTGGCCAAGACCAGCGGCTGGCATATTGACCGTAATGCTGCTCCGCTTGTTGGCCACCACACGTTGGGGTGATCCGGTGGCGGAGCCAGGAATGGAATGTTGCTGCTGCTGTTGGGAGCTGGCCAATGCGGGAGATTCGTCCACAGATTTGCGACCTAAAAGAGAAGAGAGGGAGGATTTAATTAAAGCAAGTTATTAAAAATATATAAGATATTATATATTAAATGTGTTAAAATATTTGTTTTCGGATGGTTTTTAAGTATTTTAATTATTTTTGTTTTAATTAATAATCTCCTATAAATTCATATAATGCAAAATCCCAAATGTATCTTAATTATTTATTAAGTTTTATAATTCTTTAAAAATTTTTCTACAAAATTCTTTGTCTTTTTGTAAAATTTAAATTGAAAAACCCGAATTAATTTGGAATCTTTACGCCCTCTTCAATCAGCATCCTCACAAGATCCTTTTGCATATTGAGAAGCAGATAAAATCGCTCCGATTTCTGATCCTTGCAAGCCACCCAATCATCATCTTCGTCTTTGTGCTCTTCGGCAAAATCCCGATATCGTCTTAGTTCCGTCTCCAAGTACTGGTTCCACTCCACACCCTGATCACCACTCAACTCTTTCTTGATGATTAGTAACAACTTGAGCATATTTTCCCGAACAGCTTCAGCCTGTTCTTGGCTTAAAGATGAAGGGTCCCCCTTTGGGCTGTCCTTTGGTTCCTCAGATTTTATAAAGGAATTGGCTTTTGCCTTACTGGGCGTTAGACGACCTGGCGAGGATTGAGAGCGAGTTTGGCGTAAACTGCGTTGGCTACCGCAAGAGGAGTAAACTCTCTTAACGGACAATATTTCTTGAATCTCCTTGTCATCGGTGGAGGTCTCCATTAGGGGATTAGGGATTATGCTTCCACCTAAGTGACGATGGTTTGAGCAGCAAGAGCCTGAAACATTTGGACCACCACAATGGCAGGGCGGACGAGAAGCTGAGCCTAAGCTCTTGCTACAGCAGGGTAAGGGACACGAATTCGATAGTGTTCCCTGCATCCAGGCAGTACAGGCCAGGGCCATGGGATTCACCACCAGCGGCGGCGGGTGAAGGTTGCTGCTCCTCTCCTCAAAGTCCACCCAGACCAACTCCTGTGGTGGTGGCTCTCTAAAGATGCCCGTTAGCTGCCTCCGGTTCAAGCAGACTATCAGGTGACTCATGTAGGCGTTTCGCATGCGCAGATCATAAAGTGTATTGCAGCGCCAAGAGATCATCTTATTGAGCCACATGCAAGCCAGCCCCAGCTCTCTCGACTCGTGACAAAAGACCTCGTCCGGCTGTGGCGAGCAGTCCAGCATCAGGATAAAATCATTGGAAAGCATGGCAATGTTTTCATCATGATCTTCCTCCTCCTCCACTGGTTTGGCCACTGGTTTGGTCACTGGTTTTGCCACTGGTTGTGGTTTAGGGGCAGCTATCTTCTGGACAGGCTTCGGCTGATTTTTCCTGACTCTCTGGCGACTTGAGGTCTTCCGGGCATGGGTTCCAACACCGTAATAATTCTGCAGTAAGCTAGCGTGGCTACCGTGGCTACCAGCGCCCTTTCTCTTCTGCTCAGCTTGCATGTACATCTTGGTATTATATTTTATATATTTTATTTGGCGATTTTAAATTTTGAACTGAGCATAATTTTGCCCAAAAGTGTCAAAAGGTTGACTCACACAAAAGTATATATTTTGACACTTTCAATGAATTGTTTAATTAATCGTTCCCGCCATTATTTTCTATATCCCTAATTTATTTATTTATACACAAATTGGCCAGGGAACTCACGAGTGAAATCTTTAATGGTTCAGAGCTAATCGCAAAGTTCTATTTATTTTTTGTTTTTGTGCGACTATTTTCGGTGCAGAAGCTAAAGCTGTCAACGCACGCAATAAATATAGAAGATATATAAGGAGACATTTGTATATATACAATATATATATGTGTGTGTGCTTGGACCTTAGGGGCTGTCTTTTTTTTTTAGTGAAGAGGCTAGCACATTTTCTTTTTAAATTTGCCAAGCGTGGAGGCTGTGGAATGTCTTAGAAGTGTTTGTTAGTTTGCCAATTATCATAGTCTTGGATTAGTGGAATTCCAAAGTTATTTTCAAATATATTTAGTTTGTTTAGTTTTTAATGTATTTTATTTATAGATCTTATTATTAAGGGGAGTCTCTGCTACCAACCTCGACAGGCTTGACAAAGTTTCCGCAAACTAAGACACATTTTTCTTCTACACTTTTATCACTATTTTTAATGTTTTGAGTTACACATGTTGTTGTGTGTTCACTAAATGGGGTTTTTTATGGAACTTTTATTAGATAATAATATGATTAAGTAACCATAAAATATTCTTAAACGGTGGCAGCTCTTTTTTATATAGTAACCATGAGTTTAAATAGGTTTTTTGTAAGAAAACTAAGAAGATTTGAAGAAGTTGTTGTACTTAACAAGTTTAAAGAATGATTTTCTTATATTCTTGTGGATTTTGCAAGGTTTTCCATTCAAAAAGTGGAATTTTAGAAGGATTTACTTTAACATTTCTCTATTTTTAGACCAATTTAAATGGTTAAACAATCGAAATTAAATTTTGTAGAATTCTAAAGTCCAAACTAAAGGCTTAACTTGTCAATTGTCATATTTTCAAACCATCATCATATTCATTAAAGAAAAGCCTTAAAAAAAGAAAAACTATCATCATACAAGTCTTTACTTTTACTTTCCCCCTATTTTTAAGACAATTTTAATGGTTAAATACAATCGAAATTTAATTTCCCGAAATTCCAAACTCAAAATAAAAGGTTAACAGTCAAAATTGCAAGCATTATCTCTTGAAAGAAAGCCTCAAAAAGGCAAACTATCATGATAATCAGTTGAACATAAGCCTGCTAATACCCAAATGTTGCCTTGCCAAATTTTCAGGCACAAATCCCAAGCGAGAAGCCAGAAAGCATTTCCTAGTAAAGAGGCGAACCATTCAACCAGCCGCCACAATGTGATAACAAAGACAGGATTTTGGCTGTATTCTGTTGACCACAGGTCCGTAATCGGACTCCCGAGTCCCGAGTCCCGACCTCGGAGTGCAGAGAGAGCCTAACCCCTCCTGGCCCTGTCAGTTGGCTCTGGTCAAGTGCACCCTGGCGTATGCTTAATGCCAATTAGACATGCGTGCGCTTTTAATTAAGAGCTGCATGAATACTTAATGCGAGAATCCGGTGAGAGAAGAGGATGGAGGCAGATACCAAGGCCGATGCGGCGTATGTGTAATTTCTGTTTCGGTTCAAGTAAATAAACTTGATGAGATCCAACCAACCCCATCAACCCCCCAAGCCAAAAATTCCGAAGGTCGCCACATAAACAAACACAATTGAAATCGATGATAAATCGAAGGGGAAAAGAAAATCACACCCAAGTAGTATATGTGTGTGTGTGTGTGTGTGTATGTGTATTGTATAATGAGATGCGAAAATTAATGAAAAACCAGGCCAAAAATAAATGCTGTGCAAATAAAAAAAGAAAATAATATAATACAACAAGAGAACCGAAAACTGAAACAAAAATAAAAACAAACAAAAGACAATTAATGTGAAGCGTAACACAAATGGAAAATGGAATGAAAAATCAGAAAGAGAAATGGCACGTAAAAGTTGCATATAAATCAAGGTTTATAAATAAGTTTTCGTTTTTCCCAGTAATTGAAGCCATGAGGAAACAACAAAAAAATGCATCAAATGCTTTCAATGAATCAAAGGCGGAGAAATCAATTTGTGTTAAATAAATGAATGTAACAAAAGTGGGGGGAAAATGGGGGGAGGCACTTGCTTTTCACTTTGGCTGCTGACTCTACAGCTGCAAAAAATCATGGAAAATTTGCACATGAAAATGCAGAAATAATTGTTTGAGCAACCACAACAAAGCAACAGAAAATTAGAAAAACCTAAAGCATGGCTAAAAATAAAAAAACAAGAGAATAAAAAGGGGATAAACGAAGAAAATGTCAAGACAAAAAACGGAAGTTGCTGTCCAAAAATGTGCCAAAAAGGCAGTCTGGGAAAGATAAAGGAAGACAGACCGACGAGCCGCAGCATGTGATGATATAGTAAGTCGGCATCATCTGTGTGTTCTAGTGGTTGTTGGGTCAACTTCCCAAAAGTCCTGACGATGCAGATATGCATAATGAAAGGCAAAAGGCAAGGAAGCCTCGAAAAACAAAAGGAGTCTTGTCTCCCCTTGAGTCTCTGTGACCAAAATAAAGGGGGAACCACAAAATAGCTGACCAGGCGGCTTAGCTTCTCCTGGAAATTCATTAAAAGCAAAAATAAACCGAGCAAATATTTCAAATTTTAGACCAAAATAAAATGGTATGCCTTGCTATATCATGTTGATAAATATTTAAAGACATTTTCTTAGCCCAAGGCAACTAGTATAGATTTAGTAAACAAGAAACTGTCACACAATTTCATTAAGGACATTTTTCATATTTTTTTTAGACAGAATATTTGGCATATTCCTTATCCTGCAGCACTTTTAGGTATGCAAATATTTTTTAAAACCAATAAAATGCATAGGAAGTTTTATATTTCACACAAATATAAGCTAAGTAAATACTTTCCAATTTAAATAAATATTAGCTGGTCTTGCCTCTAAAAAAATGACCAACAACTCCTTTTATTTATAAAAACAACAACCAAATAAAATAAATCCTTTAACCTTAATAAAAATAAATTTAAAATATACTCAAAAATATTTCCTTTAGCTGAATGAGATATAACTGTACGCCTTTCAAGTTAATCCTTGGAAAGCCAAAGGACATTTCATAGCTTTTTCTTGAATGTCACAAGGAAAATATATATCTCAATGCGAGAAAGACACGAAAAGGAATTTCTTTTAGCCACATTCCTTTATCCAGCAGCAACAGGCCAAGAAGCAAACACACAAAAATAATATAATAAAAACGAAAAGGAAAACTATCACACTGAAATATTTTACAACCTCACACTGAATGGCAAACACATGACAAGTGCAAAAATTCTTTGCTGCTCTTCGTTTAAAATTTGAAAATAAACTCGGCGAAAGGAGAGCAGGAAGTAAAGCAAAAGTGTCAGACAAATATCTAAAGATATACAAAAAATAAAAAATAAAAGAGTCAAATAAACTTTAAACATTTGGTTCTAGACAATGCCAACATTGTTTCTTTTCCGTTGTTGCCAAGCCAAGACAAATAAATAAAAAAAGAAAACTCTGCCACACATGTGAAAATGCATTCTTCGGATATTTTGTTTGTCGCCGCAGCAACACAAAATGCAGTTCGCTGAACTTTGAAAGAAACAAAGACCGAAGAATTGCAGAAATTATCCATATTTTTTGAGGTATCCAAGAGATTTCTTACAACTGGACAGATGTTGTGTGTCTTTAGATGAAACTCTACTCATTTTTTAATAAAGAAACAGCTTGGGATTTTAAATTGAAAACAAAGGAAAATAAGTAGAAGTTTGAACTTCAAAAGAAGCTAAAGGAATATATCCTTGAAATTTTATACTTTTGCTATATATTTTATGATTTAATTTAATATCTTATAAAATGTTGTGAATCTTTTTAGGCACTGATCTTTCCGTTTCCTTTAAAAATACTTTGAAAAAACTGTAAGCCAGAAGAAATTACAGAATAAACACTAAAAATATATATTATTTTAAGTACACTTTAATAATTTTACAGCTGGAAGCTGTTTATAGCTTAAAAATGTTCATTTTCAAACTGTTTACATATTTTTTCAAATTTATTTTTCTGTCACTGAACTCGAAACTCTGTCTTCCCCGCCATACTCTTCTTTTATACGCAGCATAAATTAGGGTCACTCGGCCAGTTTGCAATTTAATTTTTGGGTTCAAATCAATTATGCAATGCGGAACACTAACAAACCTTCTTCTTCTCGCTTTAAAATCTCGGCTGCACTTTTTTACTAAAAAATTTACAGACTGAAAAAGGAGGAGCGGCCCATCCAACAACCTTAAAGCTGGAGGTTAAGATCCAAACTGACAAGAAAAAGCCAGACCTCACCAAACAATTCGAGTCTCATCCAGACACCATGGAGAGCGAGGATCTGTTATCAGCATCCAACCAAGGGTGCAAAAAATAAACCAAAACTTGGACCTCACGTGCCCCTAGAAAATCGAAATAAAAATCCAAATGTAGAACCCACACCAAAAAAAAATAATCACGCCCCAAGCTCATGGTTACTATATATGTTTTCTTCATTGAACGGGGCCAACGTGCGACGAATAATTTGTTTTGATTTGCACGGTTTCACAGTGTCTTGGTTTATGTTTTAATTTTTAATTTTTACTCTATGTAATTATGTTTGTGTTTTGGGAATTCTTATGATTACGCGCGCCTTGAAATCGGGTTTCTTTTTTTTTATATTTCGAATTTTTATTGCGAAAGTTCTTGTCCGCTTATCAACGCGACATCAACTGAGAAAAGATCAGGCTGGCCGGCTGAAAATCGCTTATTCGGTTTTTCGCTTTTTCAGCATCGCTCAGAGAACCGAGAGAAAATGGGTATATAGCTGGGAGATTTGAGAGATCGGAGATCTCTCCCTCTCTCTATATATCTATCTGTCTGTTGCGACGTTTTTTGGGGCCAGACATGTGGCAGCCAAGTTCCGTTTGTCATGGATGC